TATAATAATAGATAAAGAATAAATATAAAAACAAGAAATAAAGTGCTTACCTAATCTTCTTTTTTCTTGCTGTCAATTGTCGATGACACTTAACCCTACTTTTTTATACTAATGGTAGTAATGCACTAAATAATTTTTATGTAATTAATAATGCACCAAAGACCACAGGTTAATAATATGCAAAATATAGACAATTTCCCCTAACTCTCAAAATGTTTCTGGCTTTATAACTATGCAACAAGAGCCATTACAAATTCATCCAAGCTGGTCATTAGTTTTCCCACTCTGAGTGAAATTGATGGTTATCTTTTCAGAACACAATGTTATACATATGTCATTTGATAGATAAAAACATTGACTTTCTATTGGTCAGAGGTAATATATAATTAATGTAAGAGAAAACTATTAACAAATCCTGAAAGAGAGGATGTGACAGGAAAGGTCTGAATTTCTATTTGATAGCTCTGTAACCAAACAAAATTGAAGGCTACAAAAATTATGGTTTCTCTGAGCAATGATGATTTTATAGGGAGTAATTTACATTTAATTTCGTAGTTTCTGGGAAAGGGATGTGGATAAAATTGAGATGAGAAGATACCTAGAGAAAATGTATCACACTAGGGGAAATTCAGGATTTTTTAAAATATTGCCTTATAAAATTAAGAACTTAAAACTTATATACTATTAAAATATGGATTATTGGCTAAGATTTTATGCTACACTAATTAGTATAACATTAAAAAAAAAGTAATTTAATAAAATTTTGAATGTAAGACACTAAAACCTTGTATTATGCACAATAAAGGATACCCAGGGTGAGAGAATTAACAGATGAGAAAAGCAGGTGAAAGACAAATGAGAACATATAAAAGGATAGTGAAAGAGCATTAGTATCAATAAGAAAATGGGTGTGGTTCTTATATATTCCAGCAGCAAGTAAACCACTCAGACCTGGCTGGACTAAACTTTATTTTTATTTTGGTGTTAAAGCAATTCAATTTGTCAAACTACAAAATTGTGTGGTGTAAAAAAACATGAGAAACACCTTGACAAGTTAAAACTGTATGTTAATGATGAGATTTTCCAACAGTGACTTAACTAGAAAGCATAGAATGAAAAACTTTAACCTATATAATGATGAGGGCACCATTCTAATCTGGTGGATTGTTTGTTTGTTTTGAATTTCGTGCAAAGCTACATATTAGCCTAATGGATTGAAAAACTAAAATCAGAAACTAATGAAGCCTTTTATAATTGCCAAAAAGCTGCATGCAAACTTAAAGCACATACTTCTACTGCACAAAAAAGTAGTTATTTGGGGAAGCAAATTACTACATTCAAGCATCCTATGCCTGTCCATACTTTTACCTCCCTAGTGTAAGTATATATTGAAGATAATGTAATCACATGCAATGGGATGATATTGCAAACAATGTGTAATGGCAAAGGACAAGCCTTTGTTTTTAATTCTATGTAATGTCTTTATGGGGTATTTTGTTAGTGAATTACTTCCTGCAGAACATCTGAATACATAGGAAATCCCCTGTTTCTGATATGTTGAGGAAATATTTTCCATAAAAGTTACAGCTTACACACAATAAAATGGCAAAATATATTTAAAATTATTATAAAAACAAGTTAACTGCAGATTTTTTTCACATTCCTCTTAATTTGGCCATTCCAGATCAAAATCAGAGGTGTATAATACATAGCATTTCCGATTGCCCAGTAAACGTTTTGTTCAATATTAGAACTCATCAGTTGGAAAGGACGACGAAAGACATTTAAACCATAACTTTTATAGTATTATACTAAATATATAAATAGCATTTTGCAGAACCTTTTGTCGCTATAGTTATGATAATTATATCAGTGACAGTACATAAATAGATAAACAAATAGACATGTAGATAAATAGCCAGACAGATGGATAAGTACAATGTTTCGTTCAATAAAGTAAGATATGGCAGGAGTACAAATGCTGTGGGAAATTGGGAATATATACGAAAAGCGAAAACTGCATCTCAAAATGTTTAATGAAACAGGTATTAAGAACACTTAATGTTTACAAGGAAATTGATAAAAACAACAAATAGTTTATAGAATACATTAAAGATTCAAAACTTGTAGTATTTGTGAGACTTGCTTAGAAAACATGCTACAGTATTAACTGGAGTGGAACAGAAGTTGTGGAAATTAAGTTCCACATGATTTTAAGAACATTATATGCCTTTAAGTTTAACGAAACAGATGCTGCATGTACTGTACAGTAACCAGCAATCAAAAATGCTTGAAATACAAGTGAACAGAATACTATAACCAACTGTAAATGAAATGAGTGAGCATTTAATTACACAGGCCTGTGATGGTTTTATTTTACATGTTCTACAGTAATTCCTGTATGGTGCATCCAAACATGATATCCATTTTTCTCCAACACTTACAGATTTTTCACAAAACGTCATAAAGCAATACATAAAAGAAAGACCACAATGTGTAGTTTCGAGACTAAAAGACGTAGGTTTCACAAAAAAAATCAGGATGAATGAGGATGCATGTTTGTTTGATATCAATGTTCTTTCCTTTTCTTCAGTTTGTTTGTATTTTTGTTCACAAACATAATAATAAAAAATGTTCATTGTGGTAAATGAAATAATAATTCAATCTAAGTACAAGTTTTTATTCTTCCCAATTTGCAAAAAAATCCTTACGTGATAGAAAAAATAATAATATTATTTTCAATATCTGCATAGCTGAATTACGGAAAATCAGTTATTAAAACCAAAACAACTTTTATGACGTTTAAATTTGCAGGTCTGTGTTATTATTTTGAATGTTTTTAAAATTAACTTTAAAGACCTTGAGCACTGAAGCCTCTTCTCACCAATGATCAGACAGCTAAAGTCTTACAATTCATAACCAAAGTTTCCCACCTTCTTTTTAGGTCAAGTCAGGGGTGTGTTAGGCATACTTTGTAATCACAAAAAAGAAGTAATATCTGTTTTCCTAATATGTATTTGTTACAACAGTTTTATTATAAAAAAAATAACTGACACATACTTTGTAACAACGAGATAATGAAGAAGGTCTCCTAATTCCTCAAGATTATCCGTCTCTTTCAGCATAGTCAGCAGTTCATCCTCAGTCACATGTTCAAACTGAAGGTCTGATGTAGTGCGGACACGAGTCATTGACTCCCATTGTTCATCTTCCTCTTGCTCTCCTTGAAGTGGTGAGGGACTTTGCTCTCCAGATTCTGTAGGTGATGAATATGAAGATTCCGAATGTACAGAGATTACTTCAGCTCCAGGAGAAACTGGTGGTGACCTAGTATGCTTGTCATAGGAAGACTGAAGTCTAGCAAGATCTATATTTCATGAACAAGTATTAATTAATGGATAAAAACTGACCAAAAAAATCAGTATTTAAATATATTTAAACTTCTGGGACAATAAAGTAAAATAAAACCTTAAAACCCTTTGAAGAGTACCTATAGTTGATAAACAAATATTAAACTGTGAATTAATCTTGACAATTGATATGTTTTTATATATATCCTCTTGTGATGACATGCAAAAAATCTTTAAAAATGCATACATCATAGATAGTTTAAAATAGAGGTCATTCTTCAGAGTTCTAAGTTGCCTACTGGTATTGCAAACAGAAAAAACTTGCTTCATTAGCATTAGCACAATGAAAAAAACAAAACAAAATACTTCATAAAACTAAGTAAATATGACATTGTTATAAGCTGAAAACAAAAATTCTTAAAACTATGCATGCATTTAACCTTTTAATTATAATACATTAACTAATTTGATTTAGTTCCTCTTCATCTATAACAGTAATAAGATCACTAGTGGATCATAAATTTAATGAATACATACAGTTGTGTCTGAAAGAATGTTTCATTGAGGATGCATTTTTCCTCCACAGGCAAAACAAAACAAACTCTGGTTCTATCGAGGATAATTTGCTAGGTTGCCTAAGTTATGTGTGCCTGGCAAAATCACCTAACTTTCTTTCTCTGCAAACATCCATTAATTTACATTATGCATGCTGTCATTTCAGTAAGCAAGGTAAGCTATCATGGTTTACTTTAATTTTAACATCTTAATCTACAATACTCGTACTTCAGTCAAGTTAGTTTCTTTAATTATTTATAGCATAAACATTCATTTTCATATAATGTATTTTTAAACATATATTTAACAGACTTGTGATCAACTTCAATACTTATCCAAAACCTTACAAATTTAAACATATTTTTGCACAGCTAACTTACAGAACATGGTTTTGTCTGTTTATTCACAACTGTTTTATTTCTTAACAATGGTCTACACACCTGCAAATGGCAACATATGTGTATTAGCAGCTAAGCCATGAATAAAAATAAGTTACAAAAAAATTAATAACAATACTAAATATCCAATATAAATTAATTAAATCAATTAAGTAATTAGTTAGAACACAGGAATTATACACAACTACGTATATTTTTTCAAATGTTTGTTCCACTGCTATATTTGAGCCTTTGAGATCATCACATGCATATATACATAGATAGACTGTGGCTGTAAACAATCAAATGTCAGAACACCTATGTTTTGCTTTTCTTTCCCACAATCCATCTATGTTACTTAAAAGGCTTAAGTCACCAAGAATGTTTAGAAGGAGCATTTACCCACACAACTATTTTTTTACAAGTAAAGAAAAAGTTTATCATTACAGAAAAAAATATTGTAACAAGGACATTTTACATTATTATTGTATAAGCAAAAGTACCCATCCACAGTGATGCGAAAAGTTTAAGTTAATCTATCAATTTGAAGGTTAATTGTGTTGCACTCTTGGTTTCACTCAGAACCAAAGCTCTGAGCTATTTATACTTCCTACTGTGAAAAGTAATTGTTGAGCATTTCAGTCATGCTAACAGTCACTCAGCAATAAAATATGGTAAAGCTATATATTCATTTTTTTCAGTTAAATCACATTTTGAAAAGTGAATGATAGTGTGATTAATTCATAACAACTTAGTGTAGAATATCCTACTTGCAAAATAAAATTTGGCATCAACATTATTCATGCCTGTTCTCCTGTCATTTCATTTTCAGCTTTTCAAATGGTTGGTTGGTT